ATGCATCCATGCATCTAAGACACGGCTTGGTTTGTGTGCACGTTGCTCCCGAGGTGGTTGATGGTTGGGGTTGGTCGCCAATAGGGAGAGAACGATGTGCCAAAAAGTTGAGACCGGTTTCCCCATATGTTGGCAACAATGAAAGGACATATAGGACATGCATTCATGTATATCCTGTTTGTGCATTATAGTGCTGCGTTGCTGGCAGATACGCCATCCATAGGTGTCACGCGTGTCGTATTGTGCATGACCTACTCGTTCCTGTTCCAGAGTTAGGTCTGCACTGTGGCTTCGTCCTCCGTGTTCGCTCGTGGTTCGCGCCTGTAGTGACCCACGTCTCCTCGTACCCCTTTTTGTGCTCTTGTCGGACCCTTGCCCTGCAGTCGTACTACTCAGTAATGGCACCGCACGTCGCTCGCGTCGAACGCGTGGAATTTGGTCGATTCATTCGTAGTGATCCCACGCAGGAACCCTAGTGAACCGCGTCAGGACCACAGACCGCTCTGCCTTTATAAGCAGAGCCTGGCTTAGCCATTGGTACCACCACTCGGCGCACTTTAGCTCGCTTACCTTTTCCTTTGAGCCCGCTTTTCGCTCAGCCTTCCTCACAACCACCGCCAGAAATTGCAGGAGCCTGGGTTAGTAGTTACTGCCTGAACGTTGAGGGTTTTCCCAGAATCCTGCATGCCACCCTACAAAAGCTCGGAGTCAAAGATCGTCCCGAGTATGAGGGCCATGAGTATGAGGAGCAAGGCACCGAGTGGTGTGAGGTTACCGTCTACATCGGGAAGAGTGAGGAGTTCCCCGACCTCACTGGAGCCTAGAGTGTGACCACAGCCGGGTTTAGCTTTATCGACACCTACCAGGTTGTGGCCCACAGAGCCTTGAGGTACCTCTGCCAGATCTATGAGGAGCCCATTGCTAGTACCCCCATGCGGTTCTTTCCACCTTTGGACATGAATAGGAGGGCATGGAGGGCTCGCATGGAGGCTTTGCAAGGGCGGGATGCGTAAGAGGATAGTCCTACCATGGTGCATTTGACCGCATACCTTCTTGCCCTGGATGAGCAGTATGACCGACAAGCCTTGGAACTGAGGATCTGCCTCCAACGGGCGGAGGAAGCTGAGATCTTCACCTGAATCCTCCAGGTGCAGCTCGCCGAGGCGCATGCCAGTGTTGCAGCTACTGAGAGCCGGGAGACTGCCATGTCCGAAGCTCTGAAGGAGGCTGAAGATCGACATGTCCATCAGCTACGGGAGGCCTATCTTATCATCAGGGCCAAGCAGAGGACGCTGGCTGCTGAGAGGCAGGATGCCCCGATCTTGGAAGGGATCCCTGTCCACCGGCCTGAAAGAAGGAGGACCGGTGTTGCAGTGCCGCCAGCACCTCCACCTTCGGAAGTGTCAGAAGTAGAGCCCTTGATTCTTCTCACTCAATCATCGCCAAGAGAAGATGCAGATCCATAGCCAAGGCGGTTGAAGAATCCGCCAAGCCCGGGAATAAAGATGCGTAGTTCTAAGTAGATTAGTTGCCATGAGATGCTGTACCCGTAGTAGTAGTGTTGTTCTTCGCTGTCTTCCGGTATTGTACTCTTACCATTGTTTTCATCCGTACTGTTGAGATCGTCCGTTGTAGGAAAGGTGAATGCTGTGTCGTGAATGGGAGACTGGATGCCTGTATGATGTGCCCGTATAAGACCGTTGGAATATGCATTTGGTTTATTTCTCTATGTTTATTGCGTCCATCTACTTAATTCCTGTTAAACGTGCTTAGAGTTTTCAAGGGCGATGGTAGGTGGGTTACAAGAGAAGTTGCCATCCAGATATCAGCAAACCAGTCGTGATTGGATAATATAGGACATTGTATCGATTAATTGTGGATGTCCCAGTAGAACACTGAATCTCTTTAAATCAAATCCACCGTTGGATTTGAATTAATTGTCCCTTGTTGTGAAGGGAACCCTTGTTGTTTGAATCTTCCCTTGCAATACTCCCCTCATTCTGTGGTCTATGACCCCACCGCCTTCCGGCCATGAAGTTGGTAGTAGTTGCCTGGTTAATAGCTTATGGCGTCGTGACGAAACCGGGGGCTCCCTGTGGAACAGCTGCCACATGGTGACGCTGCTCGTCACGCGCTGGTATCGAGGTTGTTGACCAAGTACCTTTACCAAGTTACACCGCCATACCGCTTTTGATACAAATATTCGGGTGTTTGAACGAGAAATCCACAACATGTTGCTGAAATAGTATTCTCTCAAAGTAAATAAGAGGAGGTGGTTTCGAAGGAAGCATGTATGTTGCGATCTCACTTCATACAAAGTTTGGCGCATATTGTGGACAAGGAAGGGAAGGAAAGAACACCTGGAAAAAGTTAGCCTTGGGTAGTAGGGAATGCTTAGAAAAGCTTGAGTGGATGTCAAGTCTCAGGCACTGTGCTCAGCTCGACCACGCTACGCACGCCGGGTCGCTGTCACCGCGTGCCCCGCAGACACCGTCGGTGTTGAGCCCATTAGCACCCTATCCTCGCATGGCCTCGACATCATACCGCACTCGCCGTCCTCGTGCATTGTACGCTTCTCCTTTTCCCGTCCTCCGGTCCGCTCTTGATCCTCGCCCTCATCCCCATACCAGACCCCCTCCCTTCTTTCTTCTTTTGGGGACACGACCACCCGCACGCCTCCCTCGTCGAGCGAACCCTCTCTCCTCTCCTTTATTACCCCCCTTCGCTCGCTTGAGCAGGGAGCGCACCATGGCCGGTTGTATCTCCACAGCGTGAACCGACAGCGTATCCCATCCATGCCGTCTCCACTTCCGGTGCGCTGCGCCCCATCTTCGTTCGCCACTATAAGATGCCCTTGGTCCTTGCTCTTCTTCTTCATCCCCATCCTTCTCGAATCCGAAGCAGAGCTACGAGATCCAGTCCTCATTTCGTCTGACTGAGGTGATGGTGTAATATAAGAATAAGGGATCTGGTTTTCGAAGAAAGTCTACCGTTGGTTAGTTTGGTCTTAGGGTTCATGATGTTTGACTTCTCAGTCTCCTGTTTCTGGATCTATTGGTCATACACCATGTTTTGGATAATCATTATCTTGTTGTTTCTCCATTGCCCTCATCTATCCTGACTTCTAGAGTAAGCCTTGGTTGTGCTAGGTTGCTCTTAACCATGTAACTTTAAATCCTAGTGTAATTTAGTGTTCGACACCGTGTAATCTTTCGTGTAATTCTAGATTTACGAAATGTGTTGTAGTTTCGCCTAAGAGGAGTGGATCCTAATTCACTCTTTTGTAAACCCTCGTGTTAGGAGAAGTACTTGTGTTGTAGTTTTTGCTATTTTCACCTATAATGTAATCCTAGTCAATGTTGTGCTTTAAATCTAAGTGTGTTAGTTGCTTGAGCCCAACCCTATCAAATACTTCTTTCCACTAACATGTCATCGAATTGCTGGCCTAGAATAGGCACCATATAATGACAACCAACCTCTATATTCGTTTACAGTATTGAGACCAATCTTCCGTACCAACACGATGAGAAAACATATTAGACATATGAGCCATATTTCTCAGGATTTTTCCTATACCAAGCACATCACCCGCAGCGAAGCACGGACAGCAGTGGCTAGTGCCATTGAGAGACACGGGCAAATGAAACAACGAGCTAGGCCATCAATCCATGCTGCTGCACGGCTTAATCAAAGGAGTTATATGACATTGTTTCCAAAATTGCTGCATCATGTAAAATAAAAATAAAATATGAATGAAACATTCACTCTTAATGCATAGTTTCATTCTATAGTTTCATAGACATTTAATTTCATGACTCATATAGAGTTGCTAATCGTGTCAAGAGAGTCGATCTAGATGAAACTCATTCCTTCTCTCTCTTCTTAAAAATGTTAACATGTCATCAAAAACGCCTATATGACATTCTATTAAATACAAATGAAACTTACGTGGAACTCCCATCGAGGCCGACCTTAGAAGTTTCTGTTTAATAACTGTCACTATAAAAATACTTAATTTTTGTGAGCTCTCTTTATTCGTTCCTTTTCAACAAGATAACGGTATAGGTACTCCGGGGAAGTGGATAGCAAATGGCGAATAATCTACACAATCGGCACACAAAGCTTAGTTCTTCGAAGTGGTCAAATGCGAAAAATACTATGCTAATCCGACGGGCCCACATAGAAAACAAATGCAATTTGTACACTTGGATCATAATTCAAAACAAACTACTATGACCTCGCATCCAGGGATGGCCCACACGAAACCTACTGCTCCGCTCTACAATGGGCATCTCGAAGCTAAGCATCACCTTTACCTCCTGTCTTTGGTCACAAGTCTCCACCTGGGAACAATTCGTGATCCCGCAGCATGCCTTCTCCCGTAAATTTCGACAACACTAGAGATTGGTAAGTAGTTGTCAGGTCGATTCATAGAAGCCAAAGGTGCAACTTCAATGGTATGACCATCTATACAGAAGAATCTTTGGAAATGGTGGAACCAAAGAATCTTCAAGAACAAGCACCTCACCGTTGCAAAACGTTGAAAAAACAAATAATGCTTAGTTCAATACAGAAGAGAGTTTGATTTGCTGGGGTAGATTGGCCTTTTGTTTTTCCTTTGGGGTTCTCTTTCCTGTTGTCCCTAGGGAGTGTTGTGAGGGGGAACCCCTGTGTTCGGTGGCCAAGCAGCCATCCTGTACATAAATTGTCTTCTTCTAAAGGGCAGACCCAGTGCCAGAGGCTCCCACATGAGTGGGGTCTGGGAAAGAGAAAAACCGAGGCAAACCTTCCCCCCACAAAATCTACAGAGAGGCTGCTTCGAACCCGTGACCTGGTGACTCAATGAGACAGCTCTCACCACTGCACTAGGCCTGCCCTTCTCATAAATTGTCTTCTTCTGCTCAACTGAAATGCAAAGCTCCTGCCATTTCATTAAAAAAAGTTACCATTAACATACAATTTATTATTGTAATTACTTATATACTAAACAAGTGACATTCTTACCTCTTATTGATATCGCCTCTAATCAGTGGCTGGTTCACTTCCATCAACTTTGGGCAGTTGACAATGTACACCTTTTTTATGTTTGCAATTGCTTCCTGTCCAATTTTTTCGAGGTCTTGACAACCGACAATCAGCAATTCCTGGAGTGATACAAGATTATTGCCCCACAGGCGTGCTGGAATGGATACAATGCCTTTGCAACAACTCATGTCCAGTAATTCGAGGGAGGTGAGGTTCTCCAGGAAGCCAGGAAATGAGGCAGATAAATCCCCACAATCATCTAAGCAGAGCCTTTGGAGGGACGATGGTAGCACCATCCCATTTTTCCAGTCGAGATTTGGACAGGCCCAAATGGACAAATCCTTCAGAAGAGGAAAACTCCCAAATTGTTCAGCGAGCAGGGTTGACAGGGATCCACATTGGCTAATATTAATACATTCGATGGCATGGAGAGAGAGGAGGATGTCATCAAGAGCTTCGAGCTTGCTGCAGGACTCAATGGTAAGTTGGGTGAGTAACGGGAATTTAGCAACACTGCCTCCAATAATTGTCGTCAGCGATGCGCAATCACGGATGTTGAGCTGCTGTAGTAATGGAAGACTCCACTTTTGTAGATCGATGGATACCTGATGGGTACGGAATAAGTCAAAGCTGGTGATAGACCCACAATCAATATCATCTCTGAGATTCCCGGAATCTACAAGCTTGAGCTGCTTCAGGGATCGGGAAAACAGTCGTTGTGATCTGATCTTTGGACAGCATAGCACCTCAAGTACTTCAAGGGAATGCAAATCTCCAAATCTTTCGGTTGGGACGAATTCCACATTTCTGCAATCACCTATTACTATCTTCTTGATTGCAAGTATATAAGCTGGTTCTAGAAATTGTTCCAGGCTTGATAAATTTTGGCAATTCTCAATTGTTATATCACTTTGGGATGAGAAAGTGCAGCAATATTCTTCAAAAGAAAGCCAATGGAAAGGGCAGAAACGAGCACTCCTAGTGCATGTCTGAAATGCACAATTACTGATCTTGAGCTCCTGCAGTGATGGAAGACCCCAATTTCGTAGCTCCATGGCAGCCAAAGGACAACCTGTTAAATGCAAGATGGTGAGGGAACCACAATCAATATAGCCTCCGACATTCCCTGAGTTCTTCAGCTTTATCATCTTTAGGGATGGGGCCCTTAGACGTTTTGATTTGATCTTTGGGCAATTCCAGAAATTCAATTCCTCAAGGAAACGAAAATCTCCAAAACTTCCTGTTGGCACATATTCCATATTTTGGCAGTCTGCAATTACTATCTTCTTGATGGCAGGTATATAATCTGGACTTAGAAAGTGCTCTAGGCTTGATAGGTCTTGGCACTTCTCAATTGTTAGCTCAACAAGGTAAGAGAAAGTGCTGGTACCGATGTTGTCGCCTACTACCATGTTATTAAAGAGCACCGCTGGTATCACATTTAGGTTTGTTTGTTGTGAGTTCCGAGAAACCGATATGCTCTTTAATCCATTGCAATTGTGGATTGAAAGTAACGTTATGTTGGCAAAGTTTTCTGGATTAATCGAGTTTGGAAGAGATGCACCTTGATAATCACAAAGCCTAAGTTGGTTTCCCTGCCTAGCAGTAGCACTTGCATGAATTGGCAAAGCATGTTCTTGACAAAATTGATACGTCGCCGACTCAAATCTCTGTAGGTTGATCAACTTAGTGGAACCACCAGGAAAGTGTTGGAATTTGCACCTCCTAGCATATATTATTTGTATATTGTAGAGGCAACAAAACTCTGACGGGAGGCTCTTCGAAACACAATTCTTGGAGATTTCAAGGTACCAAAGGTGCTTCATGTTGGACATATTCTTTGGTAATGCCCTTATGGAGGCAAAAATAATGACCCGCAAGCGTCCAAGTTCACTAAACCAGTGCTCCAATACAGCACTGTTATCAATCCTTAGAGACTTTCCATAGAAAAGAATACTTAAAGACTTGTTGCAAAATAGGGTGTGCAACTTTCGATGCTTGCTTAGCCTCAGCAGGTCATTACCGTCCACATCACTGTTTTGCAGTATCGACAGATGGCGAACATTCTGAGGAACATTTTGAATGTCGCTTGTGTTATTTATGATGAAGCAATCCTCCTTTGAAACAAGTTGTGCCATGTCATGAATCAGGTCATGGATTACGTACTTAGAATCGAGAATCTGAAAGGACCTATTTACAAGGTCTTCAAAGTACCGAGAACCAATTTCTTGGAGTGGAATGTTGCCTTCAGGTACCACAAAGCCTTCCGCTACCCACAATTCAACTAGACTTTCCTTTTCGAAATTGTAGTGTTTGGGGTAGACAGCACAGAATGAGAAACATCTTTTCAAGTAGAATGGTAAATACACATAGCTCAACCGAAGAGCTGGCAAAATGTCAGTCTCCTCTTGCCTAAGCTGCCATAGTTCACTCTCTAATATACCGCTCCAGTGTCTGGTGTCAAGCTTCATTCCTAACAAACGTCCAAGAGTTTTTGCAGCTAACGGAGAGCCCTTTAACTTCCCAAGTATGCCTCTACCAATCTGCTCTAACTCGGGATAAATGTGAGAAGCATCAGACCCAAAGGCACATTGTTTGAAAAAATCCCAAAAGTCCTCATTATTCAAGCTACCCAGTGGAAAAGACTCCATTGTACCCACTCTATCAGCAACCTTCTGAGACCTTGTGGTCACCAACAACATACTTCCCTGAACAACATTTGTGAGGGGTGCACAGAAACCCTCCCAGCATTGTCCATTCAAGGCATCATCCCACATGTCATCAAGGATGATCAAAAACCTTTCTTTGTTCAATTGTCTTACGAGAGCTTGCTGAAGATAATCCAAATCATCAGTTGTTGCTTCCTTTCTAGAAACGGATTGTATGGCATCTTGGGTCAACCTCTTGACATCAAATTCGTCTGAGACTGTTAGTCGCTGAATTCTTACTATTGGTAGTAGCAGAATTCTTACTCTCATCGAGAGAGGATGACACTAGAAGTTGAAATAATTTTCTGGTTTATTTCTCAATGCCATGCCAACCTGAGGGGTTGGGGATACATATTTATAGGCTGCTAGCCAACCAAGCATATGGCAAGATGCTAGTCTAAGATGCTAATATGCTATCCTAATATGCTGTCCTCTAAGATGTTGTCCTAGCTAACTGCAAGGATGATGTCCTCTCAGTCAAGATGCTGCTGTAGTCAGCCCCACAAAGATCAGCTGTAGCCAGCCCCACAAAGACTGCCAACAGACTTATCCCATCATTCTCCCCCTAAGTCTTATGCGTCGTCTTGTGGGAAAGTTGAACCATCCTGGTCCTGGAGCAGAGCTCAAGGAACTTGATCCTCCCAAGGAGCTTGGTGAGCAGGTCCACAAGCTGGTCCTTGGTGTTGATGTAGCTCGCCTTGATGCTCCCTCCCCCAAACAGCCTCGGATGAAGTGGTACCTCACCCGGATGTGCTTGCTGCGTTCATGAAAAACGGGGTTCTTTGCTAGGGCCAGAGCGGACTTGCTGTCCACCCTGAGCTCCACTGCTCTAGTGTCTCTGCCGAGGAGATCACCAAGCAGTCGAGCGAGCCAGAGCGCCTAAGTCGAAGCGGTGGAGGCCGCTATGTACTCGGCCTCGTAGCTGGACAGGGCCACCACCTGCTGCTTGACCGACTGTCAGCTAACGAGGCACTTGCCGAGGAAGAAGAGGATCCTGCTCGTGCTCTTGTTGGTGTCGATGTCGCCGGCGTGGTCGCTATCGCTATACCCGACGAAGTGTGCCGCCCCAGGGCACCTAGAGTAGTAGAGGCTGTGGTCGAGAGTCCCCGCAACGTAGCGGATGATCCTCTTCACAGCCTGCTGGTGCTCCGTTGTCGGTCGCTGCATGAACCGACTAACGTAGCCGACGGAGAATGCCAAGTCCGGCCGTGTGTGGGCGAGGTAGCGAAGGCTCCCCACAAGACACCGGTATTGCGTAGCATCCACCTCCGTCGTGCTGTCGCGGCTCAGCTTCAGCCTCTCCTCCATCGGAGTGAGAGCTGGGTTGCAGTCGGTGAGCACAGCTAGCTCAACGACGCGCTTGGCGTAGGCGGTCTGTCGAAGCGTGATCCCGGAGTTATCCTGGTGCACCTCGATTCCCAAGTAGAAGGAGAGAGGCCCCAGGTCACTCATCTAGAAGGTGGCCTTCATCTCTTCCTTGAATGCCGCCACCTCCGCATCCTTGGTGCCGGTGATCACCAAGTCGTCGACTTAGACACCCACCAGTAGAGCATTTCCTCCACTGCCCCGTCGGTAGATGGCCGCCTCGTGCGGGCTTTGCTCGAAGCCCATCCCCTTTAGCGTGGAATCCAACTTGGCATTTCACGCCCTCGGTGCCTGCCGCAAGTCATAGAGGGCCTTGCGCAGGCGGAGCACCTTGCCCTCCTTGCCAGGGATCGCAAATCCCGACGGCTGGTGCACGTAGACCTCATCCTTCAAGTCGCCGTTAAGGAACGCCGACTTGACATCCATGTGATGAACACGCCAGCCCTCCTGGGCAGCTAGCGCAAGGAGGAGTCACACAGACTCCATCCGTGTCACGGGAGCAAAGGCATCGTCGAAGTCGACCCCCTCCTGCTGCACAAAACCTCGTGCCACCAAGCGAGCCTTGTGCTTGACGATGGCGCCGGCTTCATCCCTCTTCAGCTTGTACACCCACTTAAGGGTGATCGCGCGGTGACCACGAGGAAGGTCAGCAAGCTCTCAGGTGCAGTTGTTCTCAACCGCATCCATCTCCAACTGCATCGCGGCACGCCATGCCGCGTGTCTCTCGGCCTCTACAAACGACCGAGGCCCACCGTCGTCACACGCAAGGTGCAACTACGCCTCCAGGTCGTGAGGCACTAGTCCCGGCACTGGCTGGTCACCGAGAAGGTTCTCCAGCATACGGTACCGCAATGGCTCACCGTCGTGGTACGCATCGATGCGCTCCTCGTCGTGAGAGAGCAGAGTAGCAAGCTCAACCGGGCTGTGCTCGACATGAGCTAGTGGTGGAGTAGACGTGCCCGGAGTGGTGCCTGTCGGTGCTGGAGTGCGTGGCGTTGCCGGCTGTGGTGGGGCCGGCGAAGAACTCATCGCAGCCGAGGTCCTGGCTGGAGAGCGTGGTGCTGTCAGAGTAGCAGGCGCCGGGGTCGGTGGAGGCTCGGGGACTGGGGTAGACGCGCTCATCGAAGAAGAGCTGCCTACTCCCCCAGCTCCCTCGAAGTGGACGTATTCGACAGTGAAGTCGTCGTACGTCGGAGCCGAGCCGTCATCCACCGCCTGTTGCGCGCCGTGCGCACAGTGTCTTCGGGTCGAGGATGCGGTAGGCCTTCGAGCCCTCCGCGTAACCGATGAACACTCCCGGAGTGCTCCTGTCGTCGAGCTTACTGATGTGGCCAAGCTCCTTGGCAAACGCGAGGCAGCCAAAGACCCGCAAGTGGGAGACCGCCGGCTTGCGCCCATGCCAAGCCTCGTACGACGTCCTACCATTGAGCGCCTTGGTAGGCGAGCGGTTGAGGATGTACACGACCGTCGCCACCGCCTCTCCCCAGAAGACAGCCGGCATCCCCCTCTGCTTGAGAAGGGCCCGAGCCATCCCCACAACCGTCTAGTTGCGCCGCTCGACAACGCCGTTCTGCTGCGGGCTGTATGGCGCGGAGTAGTGGCGCTGAATGCCCTTATCAGCACAGTACGACGCGAATTCAGCCGCCGTGAATTCACCGCCGTTGTCGGTGCGCAGCACGCGCAGGTTGCGGCCACACTCCACCTCCGCAGCAGCCTACGCGCGCCTGATGGCGTCCACAGCCTCTCCCTTGCTGCCGACCATCACCCACATGTAGCGGGAGAGGTCGTCGACGAGCAGCAGGAAGTAGCGTCGTCCTCCTGGTGTGGCCGGTGTCACCGGGCCACACAAGTCCCCGTGCACAAGCTCGAGCCTCTCCTTGGCTCGAAAGCTTGCCCGCTGGGGAAAGAGAAGTTGCCTCTGCTTCGTCAACACGCAGACGTCACAGAGCTGCTCCACATGGTCGAGGCACGACAGGCCTCGCACCATCTCCGTGGCACCGAGCCGCTTCAGGGCCTCAAAGTGAAGGTGCCCGAAACGCTCGTGCCACTGCCACGCCTTGTCGTCCCGACGAGCAGCGAGACAGAGGGGTTGTGCCACCTGCACATTGAGGACGTAGAGTCGATTTGCGCTTCTAGTTACCTTGGCAAGAAGGCGACGACGGCGATCCCAAATCCTCATGACTCAATCCTCAACGACCACGCGTGAACCATTCTCATCCAGCTGTCCCAAGATGATGATAGAGTTCCTCAACGCGGGGATGTAGTAGACTTCGGTGAGCAGCCTGTGCTCACCAGACACGGCGGTGAAGATGACGGAGCCGATGCCCTTAATCTCCACGCCGAAGGCATCCCCAAACTTGACGGAGCCTCGGACGCTAGAGTCAAGCCCGGTGAAGAACTCCCGTCGACCGGTCATGTGATGGGTGGCGCCGGTGTCGAGGCACCACCCGACAGTCTTGTCGTTGCCGGAGCTGTCGCCGAGGAGGGCGTGTGCTTTTGGCTCGTCAAAGTGGAGGAGAGCCGTTGCGGCCGGTGCCGCTGGAGGTAGCTCGATGCTTGCATGTGCCATGAACAGAGCCGGCTCCTCCTCCGCCTGTGCAACGTGGGCCTGTCCGCGTCGTGGCTGTCGACAGTCCTTGGCACAATGGCCAAGCTGGCCGCAGTTGTGACAGGCGTCGTCTCGTGCTGGCTTGTGCCTGTCGGCGGCGCCGCCCTGGGCGTCTCCACGGGCATCACCCTCGGCACGTCCTCGTGCCCCGGCCTGGGCGTCTCTGCGCGCCTTGCGCGCCTTGCCACGCTTGCGGCCGCCTGTCGTGGAAGAAGGCTCCCCCTTCTTCCGGTCACCTTGGCTGGCAAGCCACTGCTCCCGAGTGAGAAGGAGCTTCCCGCCAGTGGTGATGGGCCTCGAGAGAGCCTGTGGCTCATCGCTGTCGACGACCTTAAGATGACCTATCGCCTCCTCGATCGACATCGTGGAGAGATCCAGCAGAGACTCGATCGAGCGAGCCATCTGCTTGTACTTCTCGGGGACGCAGTGGAAGAACTTTTCGACAGCTCTCTCCTCGCCGTAGGTGTCATCGCCGAGCTGCACCATCTTTTGCAACAGAGTGTTGAGACGGAGAGCAAAGTCATCGACGTCCTCACCTGGCTTGAAGGCCAGGTTCTCCCACTCCTTGCGAAGTGCCTGCAGTGTGGACTTGCGGGCGCGGTCGCTGCCGATGCGTGCCGCAGCGATTGCGTCACAAGCCTCCTTGGCAGTTCGCTTGTTGGTAAGCGAGAACTGCATCTCGGGCGGGACTGCAGCGATGAGGGCATCCAGCGCCCGTCGATCGTGGTCGTAGTCGACGTCGCTGTACCGGACTGCCTCCCACATATGCCGCACCTGGAGCTTTACCCTCATCACCATAGCTCACTCGACGTAGTTGGTCTTGGTGAGGGCAGGCCACCCACCGCCGGGACCGTCCCTGACAACAGCCTGGAAACCGTGGTAACCATGGTACCGATCCGAGGAGAGAGAGCCACGCTGCCTATGAAGGTCGCGCTCTCCATCGACCCGTCCGCCACCGTCGCCGTGCGCACCACCTCCAAGAGCGCCATCGCCGTGCGCGCCTCCTCCAGGAGCGCCGCCGGCGCGTCCGCGCCTGTCTGGGCTGCCGCCACGCTCGTGGGCGTGCGCGGCTCCTCCAGGAGCGCCATCGTCGTGCGCGCCTCCTCCAGGAGCGCCGCCAGCGCGTCCGCGCCTGTCTGGGCTGCCGCCACGCTTTCGTGGGACGTCGCGAATCGCCCAGAGCGCGCCGCCGCCGCGCGCGCCTCCAAGAGCGCCGCCGCCAGTCGCGTCGCGCGCTGTTCTGGCTGCCACCATGCTCATGGGCGTGCACGGCTGCCCACTGCGCCACCCGCGCTCGCGCTGCCACCCTCTCTAGCAGCTCGAGGTCCGCGTCGGCGGTGTCGTCAGCGGAAATGGAGCTGCCGATCTTCGCCGCCAGAAGCCTCGACCTCTGCATTGCCGCCAAGACGCTGCATGCATCCACCGCCGCCCGCTTCGCGTCGATCTCGCTCTGCCATTGCCGGCTACCATTGCCAGCCTCGGCGCCACTTGCCGCCGCCGCAGCGTGTCTCTCGCCGCCACTCGCCAGATTCCTCTGCGCGGCAAGTTCGGCCTCTCGCCGACGCCACGTGTTCGAGCGCGATCGAAGGCCGAGATCGCCTGCGGACATGACGCGCCACTGGGGGCTGCTGCGTGGGGAGAAAGGGCTGCTTCAGACGCCAGAAGGAGAGAGTGAGCAAGAGCGGCCGAGCATTTCTTGCGCTCCTAGTGAAAGCTGCTGAGGGTGAGAAAGAAGATGAGCGAGGAGATGCTCAAAGCTACTGAGGATAATACTGGCTCTCGATACTCAGCTTGTTAGTCGTTGAATTCTCACTCTTGTTAGTAGCAGAATTCTTTCTCTCATCGAGAGAGGATGACACTAGGAGTTGGGTCAATTTTCTGGTTTATTTCTCAATGCCATGCCAACCTGAGGGGTTGGGGATATATATTTATAGGCTGCTAGACAGCCAAGCATATGCTAAGATGCTAGTCTAAGATGCTAATATGATGTCCTCTAAGATGCTGTCCTAGCTAACTGCAAGGATGCTGTCCTCTCAGTCAAGATGTTGCTGCAACCAGCCCCACAAAGACCAGCTGCAACCAGCCCCATAAAGACTGCCAACAGAGACTTATCCCATCAGAGACACATACCCACCCGATCTTTTTGAAGTGGGAATTCACCTCTGGATGCTTGGAGATTTGTTGTGCTAATGTAGTCTTTCCAATACCTCCAATTCCAACTATTGGCAGGACAGAAACACTTGTCATCACTGGCCCATTACCACCTGGTACAGTAGCTTGGTTACTAGTTGATGCAATAGTTAAATTTTCCATTATTCTCCTGGGTTTAGGACAAACCACGCCACCATTCAAGGGCACACAAAGCAGTGAAATCAAATCCTTCAATTCCTTGTCACGACCAAAAATCCTTTTTTCAGTGGGGAAAGAACTGGTCTTTGGTCGGATTGATTCATCAAATCTCTGTGGTACTGCACGTAGACCCGTCTTTTCCAGCTCACTAGAAAGAGTATCTAGCCTTTTTTGAATGTCATCCACTCTGCTGAAGCTGCCCTGAACAACACTGTTAAAGAATTCAACAGAAGGAGGTTGAGTTGCATTATTCTCCACTTGCATCTTTAGCTCATACCATTTAAACTCATCAAGAAGGTCCTCAGCGTCGTACGCCGCATCCTTGAGTGCTGGAAGGTGCTCCGCTACATTGCTGACGTGGCTCGTCCACTCTGCTCGGTCAACGAGATCATACATTGCAGGAAGAGTTGCTTCTCTGAGGCCCTGAAGGCTACTTTCTAAGCACAATACCTCTGCTGCAAGCTTTTGCTCCTCTCGGCTGCTCCACTTGGAGCGCAGAAAAGAAAAGGCTGATTTGGCCCACTGAATAAAGGTAGCACACTCGTTCAAGCCGGTAATGGCTCCCATGGCTTGTGGAAGATTCATGGTGACAGGTTTGTGAAAAGTATTCCTTTTTTCCCTGCTGACAATGATAAACCAATACAATGAACATTTAAGCATCATAGAAGTTGTTCGATTGGTGTAAATAAAAATATTATACCAGTATGCGCAAAATGTTCGAATCAAATATTCATTTCATAAGAGTAACTTAGTTTGAGGTGGATATATATTTTCTCAAAATTTGTACAGCAAAAAAATACTTAGAAAATATTGATAGATAACATTGTAAAACTATTTGTACAATGGAATTTACGATTTTTCACTGAGCTGAGCGCTAACGAACAAAATGAACTTTGTTACCCACACTTGTTATTATTGGAATCGTGATTTTGCTTCACAACATTCTCATAGACGGACCTTACCAGCGATGGTGCACAGCTATTGGTAGCTGCACCACAATCTGGGCATCCTCTAATCTGCGCCCTTCCTGCAAGACACAGAAGTCCCAAAGTAGCTTTCCCAGCTTCCAGCTAAGAGCTCTGCCAAACAGATTTAGAGAGAAACTAACATATGCTAATTCTGTGAAGGGATCATCTGAAATGAACTAAATTGCTTACTGTTGAAAAAACTAGCTGCACATAATTCATTTCCCACACTGAATTATATTACTTCCTACGTATAATTTATTTAAGTGAATCACTTCTCTAAAGAATCACTTCTCACAGGGAAATATAAGGAGCTCTACCAAACTACTATCAAACAAGCTCTTAATATTACTTCTCACAGGGAAATATAAGGAGCTCTACCAAACTACTATCAAACAAGCTCTTAATATTACTTCTCACAGGGAAATATAAGGAGCCCTACCAAACTACTATCAAACAAGCTCTTAATATTCTAAAACTCATGTTAAAATTATCTTACTAACACTAATCGAAGATTACTTCTAGAGCCTTCACTCTATTCCACACAAGAGGTGTTAAAAAGAAAATGATTCAATTCTCATAAAATAATAAATATTTATCCTTCAATTTTAGTAATCTCTAGTGGTCATCATCGACAATAATAGCTAGTATCAAATATATTAAATTCTCTAAAAAACCACCCGCTTTTGACATAATATAACGTAACCCCTTAAGCCTATATCATACTCTTCTTCTTAATATATAATGATACGCAGCTGTCTTGCGTGTTCGAAAAAAAAAGCCTATATCATATCAAAATTACTCACCTATGCAATTTGATCTAGAGTAACTGAATTTGCACCTAATAAATTACCCACATCTCCCATTATCAAGATAATTTAAAATTCCCTAATCTTCACGCAAATTACCCATGTCAGCCATTATTAAAAAAAACTAAAATAACCCCTCAATCTACGTTTAAACTACCTACATATTCTATTATAAAAAATACCATAAACTTTCCCTAATATACTTCTAAAATACCCATTTCTGCCACTATTAACAAACACTAACTCAAGTAAGCATAGATAATGTGCGCCACCATACATGGGCATAAATATCTGGACCGGCTGGGCTGTCTACGCTCAGGTCAAGGAGGCCAGGAACCTGCTCCGCGAAGCCTCCTCCGCCTGCGTGTTTCAGCTGACGTGAATGATTTCTCTGGTAGATCTAGGAGTTGGACGGATCCGGCCGATCGATAGCGCAAGTTCAGCTGCGGTGCAAAGAGATGCATGGCGGACAAAATGAAGAGAGAGGTTACCTGCGACTGCGAGTGGGAGATCGATTGGCAGGAAGGAGCGGGGCAGCTCAGCTGATGGCTTGGAAGTTGGACTCGGCTCGCTCGCCTCGCAATTCTGAATTCCTGCCCGCGCGCTCTGCTCTCGCCTCTCGCCTCTCGCCTCTCGCCTCACGCCCTGCCCTAGGCGCGCAAGGGAGATGAACCTTACTCGTGGGTCCCAGCGTTTGCAGACGGAATGTTCGAGGAAGCAGCGCCCCTTGTACAGAACCGGACAGTAGAATTGACTTGGGAGTCACCGTCGGCAGATGTCCAGGCCCCAAACTGATGCCTGAGCCGCAGCGGTGGGTGGCCAAGAGCCGGAATTTTTGTAAACCCCTTTTAAATCAATGCTATTACTAAACCTATCCAAAATCTATTTTCAGATCCGACCTGTTTGGTGCAGGGTTCAAAATTTCGGCCGAATCTCCGAAATTTCGTAATACACTAATACATGTGTTATATAACTCTAAACTTATATTTTTTCAATTGTTTATATTGCATATTCTTCTATTCAATAGATGTGTAGTCATAAATCATACTAATATTTGTTTAGATCTAAACTTTTTTTTAGAAAAAACATACTTCATGTGCTAATCTTTAAAAAAATCAGCAAAATTTCGGCCGAATTTCGCGAAATTCGGTAATTTCGGTGGTGGACGAAATTTTTGTGATACCGAAATAAAAACCCTATTTGGTGTCGCGCCACATGCACGGGAAAAGGACGCCACAGTGACGTGGCCGGAGACCCATTCCTACGTGGCCCAAAACGGGACCCACCTTGTCGTGCCACCGAAGCGGGCACGATAGAGCTGCCGCGCCAAGCGAGACGACGCGACATACTCGTATAGAGGTCACGGCTTGGTCCATTTCTCTCTCTCTCTCTTTGCCCACATCTGGACACCGAGCCGCCTAGGCACACCCGCTGTTGGCGATTTGGGCAGGATGCCTCCCTCCGCCACCAGTGCTAGCGCCGCCAAGCACCCCCTTGTCGGCTCCCCTCGTTCCTTCATCTATGCTTTGCTAGCTAGGGTTGGGAACATTGGGGATTTCTTGAATGTTTGTGTGTTGCTTGGTAGGATTTGATACATAAAATAGGTTTAGGGTAGTCTTTGTCCAGCTATGGTGTGCGGTGTAGGCATTATCTCAGAGTTAGTGAACGACGTTACCAAGAATTTCTGGAAAAAAAATACAAAAACATTGATTCCTAGCAATTGATGATATATTATATGGCCCCGTTTGGATCCTTGAATTGAAATCCATTCTGATAATTATAATCTAAGCACAGATTAATTAAGCTAATATATACTATATTTGTATGCTGAATATATTTATATACTATTGTTGGACATATAAGGAAGATACTTGTATGATGCATTTATGTTGTAGGGGAGTGAGCCGAAGAACATGCCATATAAGTTGCAAAGTAGAAATATAGTATAGTGATTTATGGAATTAATTTTCATCTCACACCCTATTAATTTAAGATAGTATTATATCTGAACTTTGAAAATTTGTGGATGTTAAATTCTAAACCAAATAGCCTAGTCCAAACGACCCCTAAGGAAATTTCATGGTCAAAATATAAGGCTTAAGAGTTTTCAAATTCTAAAACGGCTACTTAAAACAGAGGCAGTACAAGAGGACAAGCAGCTGAGATATAGCATGGGTTGGCTTCTACAATTTGCATTAAAGCTTGACAAGAAGATAAGATACACTATCTGCTCTAATGCTGAACCTTATACCATGTCGGTCTTGTGCAAAGGACCTCTAATGAACTAAATCAATATTGGCAGCTGAAATTCATTCACTCAAGAGTTAAAAAGATCAAACATAAGATTGCCTATAAATTAGCTTAGATTTAGCATAGAAATATAGCAGCATGAAAAGTACTAGATCTATGCCGAACAAAACAAGAAGGGACTCGTATTGTTTTCATTTCCAGGATCTACAGAAGTCAAATCTCCAAAAAAAAAAAGAAGAAACTAAAGGAAAGACATATGTGCATGGCTCCAGTTTAATACTTTAATTACAGTTAGCCAAGAAAAGGTATCACTATTAGGACTCATGGCCCAAACTAAAACAAAACGAGCCCATCTGTCGAAATGCTTCAACTTTGCCACTAATGTATATTTTAATACTCTGTTCTGAACAGAATATATGGCATTTCAGACAAACGACAAGCTAGGGATGGTCCTGAAACATAAGCACTCACCACAACTATTCTATCCACTATCTCAACGAAATACATATGTAACATATCAACATAACTACTTTCATGAGCATAATGATTTGTGTGCTATTGATAAAAAAAAATATGTTTTTTCCTTTCAATTGTAAAATGGAAACACATATTAAAACTTGCAGTTTAAAACTAAACATCCAGATGCGATCATGAAGAAGAAAAACCAGACTGCATTTGACTGTAGTACCATCAATTTGTGTCAATTAATTAAAGCCGCAGATTTGTGAGCATAGCTTAGAACCTTATATTTCCTTGTACCATTATTATTCAAGGTCATGCAATCTTCGAGCACTCCTGACACAAGAGATGGCCTTTGGATCTGCACTTTGTGCATGGAACCAAATTCAGCTCCAAGTGATTCGTAGAGATCATCTAGCATGCCCAAACTAAGTACGCCTCCTTTCCGAACTGAGCCCATTCCTTTGCACTGTGAGCATGCTACAATCTGAAGATCATCGCACCTTTTACACATACCAAGTGACCTGCAGTGGATTTGTACATTGCTCAGACAAAATATATACGAGTGGTTGGTAAGGATATGCAGATTGCAGAGCACTTTCTGAACTTGTCTCCTACTCTTATATATGCCATATCCTTTCTCATGGTACTTGGTCATGAATTTTCTGAACATAAGTCATCTACTGATTTTTTTTTAGAAAAATGGAACTTTATTCCTTTCCTCTGAAAATAAGTTATCTACTGATAAGCTAAATACATCTTTTGCTGAAAAATTGTTAACCCTTTTCAAATTCCCCAAATATTGTATTTAAATTCATGCTCCCTGCTGGTCCAAATTAAATCTGCGTTCTGTTCCCAGTTAATCATTGCGAATCACTTACAGTAACAGCGCAGCTATCCTTCAGCAAGATACTATAAACAGCACAAATGGGGCTAACCAAACAAAAGACAGAGAAAGAGAGATGGGAAGGGAAGAGACCTTCTTTGGGAGGAGGCAATGAAGCCGTCGACCTTGGGCGCAGCAATGGTGGCACCGAGCAGCAGCGCACCCACCACGAAGCCGGCGATCTCGCTGCCGGTCAGCCCATCCATCTCTTCTCCCTCTGCTCTGGTGCCCACTGGGGACGGATGAGGTTGTGAAGATCGGTCGAGGGAGCTGGCCGAAGGCCGGCTTGTCCAGTCGCTCCGTGAGACGGAGGTGGGCCGTGTGCCACGGGAAACATTAGCTTGGGCTGAAAATAGGAAGACTAAAAGAGAAAAGGCCCATTCTAACCTACCATTATTGCCCCAGGCCCAGTCTAATTTTGTTCGACTGCAAAAACATAGATCATTTCCTACTTCAATTATTCAAGGCCTTTTTTATCTACTAAATTTAATTACTAGCTGCAGCAAAAAAATTAGCCACTCCCTCCACCCCCCCCCCCAAAAAGTTATAGGATTTAGGACAGATTAGTGCTCAATAAAAATTACTCGCGTATCACTATTTATTGAATGTGAACTGTGCTATTAATGAATAAATCCCTCGTTAAAAAGGAACATATGGGGGCATGCAGACCATAATCTCAAGCTGATATGGCCAAACTACTATCCAAGAGCTAAAACATCAAGTTTTTTTGGGACAATTTGATTCCTAGAACAAAGTTTTTTCCAGGACGGAGAGAGTAATATATAGTTAGCTAGCTAAGAGCAACTCTAGCAGGAGCCCTCAAATCATAACCTCTACTTTTGAGGGCTCTCTTAACTTTTGATGGCTTGATTTGTTTGCATCTATTTTAGCAAGAGCTTTCAAATTCATCCTAATAGACACTTTCATATAAGACCCACTCGTCATTCTCTATCTTAGCTATGTGTGCTGCTCCTCCGGGGAGACCGCACCACTTGATGGAGCCTAGGCGGTAGGCAACGGGAAGAGGGCGACCATTGGGAGCACGCAAATGCATTGGGCGTTAGGCGCCCCCACGACGATCATCGATCGGTAGGAGGCTACGCATCTCAACGGGCGTTGGGACCCGACACACTGCACATCGGGCCACTAGGAGGAGTCACGCCTCTGGCCATCTGGATGAGGTTGCATGTCAGGCGTCCTCTAGCTACTCAGAAGGAGTTTACACCGTGGTAGCACGTCAGGAGTCCTCTGGCCGTCGAGGAGGAGCACCTCCAGCCATCGAGGAAGAGATCACCACCCGCCGAGGAGAAGGCCGCGCGTCGGGCATCCTTTGGTTGTCGGGGAGGATCGCCTCCAACCGCCACCACGCGTCAGGGAGGTGCCCAGACGGAGGTGCGTCAGGCTTGAGTGTGCTGGTTTCAGATGGAGCGGGGAGGTAAAAGTTGAAACCAAAAAGTAGGGGTCTCCTAGAGGGTCCCTCGGAATAAGGGCCTAAAGGGTGAATTTGAGGGGTACTTTTGAAAGTCTGAGAAGAGGCATGTTGCACCTATGTTTTCCACCTGAGCTCTCAAATTTTTGTTTAGAGGCTTGTTTGAATGTCCTGCTGGAGTTGCTCTAACAGGGGAGGGGAGAAGGGATTGTGGATGGATCTGGGGAGGGTGAGAGAGAGTGTGTGTGTGAGGGAGATAGGAGTAAGACTAAAGCCTAAGTGAGAGAGGAGATAAGGATGATGAGGAGGAGGATGTGACAGCTACAACCGGCTATAATCTCTTCTCTACACCTAAAAGACTCTAACATCATCATCTATCCAGTGATACTAAAACTCGGTCCTTGCTCACACATCCACGTCTAATACGAATCATCCTTCATTCGAAGCTCACGTGTTCCTGTCCTACCTAGTTTCGATACGAAAATCGGATCTACGTGGCCGTGTCTAATACGAAGTCCCCGAAACTCACGCGTACGCATCCGATTATTGAGGATTATGGTCCCGCTGCAACACAAGGGCATATATCTACTACTCTCTCCATCCTAAATTATAAGTTAATTTCAACTTTCTTGGAGAGTCAAAGTATTTCAAGTTGGACCAAATTTATATAATAAAGTAATAAAATTATGATACCAAATAAGTATTGATAGATTCTTCATCTATATACTCTAAGCTAAACCTCACTAGATGATTTTTCTCTTCATGAAAGGTGTCCATATTATTTCCCACTAAGTGACCCCACCAGATGTTCTATCTCTTCATGCAAAGTGCCCATACTATTCCCTACTAAGTCCATGTCATCTCTTATTAATTACAAAAAAATATCCACGCCATCTCTATCATGTGCAATACTTTTAATCTTTAGTCTATTAACATGCAGGTTATATACATACGCTATTTGTTTCATCATCTATTCCTCTATAACGTAATCACATATTCTATTAGTTTTTTTATTAGCTTACCGATTTTTTACCAGATATGATACAATAAAATAACATGCAAGTCAAATTCATATATATACATAGTATACAGAATACCATATAGTAATGCTATGTATATAGCAGATTTATTTTTAGAAAAATCGCGCGGCAACGTGCGGGGTATGCTTCTAGTTAACTATATTTTCATAGTATAACTATTTGATGTAATAAATCTTTGGAATTCTTTCTATAATTTTGGTCAATCTTAAGATGTTTTGACTCTTTAAGAAAGTTGAAATGATTTATAATTTGGAATGAAGATATAATTAAAAAACGTTTAAGGCATGGATCGGAGTCTGACTAGCACCACACAAATGAAATGATGGGGGGTCCGCCAGTCGGTCGGTGCTTCTCACTACGCCAGATTCTTACAGCAGGAACGGGGACATTTTTACTATAGGGGCGGCTAGGGTTGGGGGCGCCCCTACAGTGGGCGTCCTCGGGCCCCAGCAGCCCAGCCGCCTTTGTTAGATGTCCTTTGTGAGGGGCGGCTGTAACCTGAGCCGCCTACGATTAGGGCTGATCTCAGAGGGCGCTCAATCACCACCGCCTCAGAAGAGATGTCACTTGTAGAGGCGGCTCAGTTACCACCGCCCTACAGATTAGGGGCTGATCTGTAGGCGGCTCAATCACCACCGCCTACGTTTGATTGCAGAGGAGAGGCTGAATCACCACCGCCCTCTTGATGGGGCACGAATAAATATGCACCACCCTTCTTCCACCTCGGGACACACTCTTCTACACAAAAAAAAGGTTGAGAGGCCTTGGGCTCCTCCTAAAAAATTGCTCTACTAAGGGGAAGGTTTTGATCTTAAATCCTTTAATGGAGAGGCTCTAAAAGGTAAGGAAATGCTTCTCCAACTCTTTATTTAAGTTTAATTCGTTGGTTAGTGAGTAATTTGATTTTAGGTTTTCTCTCTCTTCCATGGAGCTTGAGCTAGTTATGAGTGAAATTAGACCCTAATTTTCACTATACTAGGGTAAATTAGGTAGGAAAGTAAGATTGCACCCTTTATTAGTACATCTTTGTTGATTTTAGTGTAGTATTAGTGAAGTTTGGTGCATGTGTCATGAAACCCTATATCTAGATCTAGGATTTTGTTTTTTTTTTCTTTTTCAATTTTTCCTTTATGTGACTAGGGTTTGCATGTAGGTGAATGTGTAAGATTTTAATTGTTGCTAATGTGTAAAATATCCTCTACCATGGCTACTAATTATCATTTAATATTTATTTTGATTCCTTTCTATAATGTGTGTTTTATGTGACTTGGATGTATGGTTCGTTAAGACACGACGCTCTTTTCCATGATGAGGTGGACAAATTCATCAAAGCCGCAGAGAAGCATGCAGCGACGTTGAAAGAGAATAGCGACACGATTATTTGTCCCGCAAAGATTGCAAGAACCTTATTGCATTTCGAGAGATGAGTACCATCAAAGAACATCCGATTAGAAGAGGATTTGTTCGGACTATATAGTGTGGATTTATCATGGTGAAACGTTGGTTGTTAATGACAATGACGATGATCTAGGTGATGAAGTTGAAACCCAAGCATACTTGTCCCGATTCACAGACGATCTTGAGCAACAAATAGATCGTGACTATGGTAATCAACAAGGTGGTGGCTTTGGCAATCAACAAGGTGGTGGCTTTGGCAATGAACAAGGTGGTGATGATGCTAGTGGTGCCAGCAATGATGGCGAAGCACGTGAGGGGGATGTAGATGACGGTGACAACTTAGACGAAATGCTTGGGGCCTTTGGACCAGAAATATTAGAAAAGAGCAAGAGAGGTCTAGAAAATCTTGAGAGGGTGACAAAAGTATCGAAGAAGACGTGTATGATGTTGAGAAGGGTTGTCCGGACATACTTCAGACCGGCATGCGTTTTGTGCTTGAGCTACTCATCCGGAAACAACATATCATCGGAGTTGATGGCGTGGACGATGTTGAAGCTTACAATAAGTGCAATGAGATGCCGCTTATTCACAGGACTTTTATAAGAAGATCGAGGTGTGAAAAAGAACCTGCCCAAAGATGTATTGCCATGGAAACGAAAAGGTGTCAAGTGGAAAGTTATCACGGTGGGCTAGCTAGTTTATGTAAGTGTGTCAGTGTTTATAAGACTACATTCATGTATGTGTATGTGAGACTACATTCATGTATGTAAGACTACATTTCAGCTGAAAAATGCAACTTCAGACAAGATTTTGGTTCCCCAAATGATTTCAGCTGAAAAAGTGATAAATACCAAAGTTGAATAACTCATCAAGATCTACAACTTTTGTATTGGTCATTTCTTCATATGACAAAGTGGTAACGACATTATTCACAAATGTGACATATCTCCCATAAGGTTTTATAAACTATATGAGACATGTGTAAGATTAGTGAATAATGTGCGCAAACCATTACACCACTCTATGAGTCCATAATCCATCTAGATTAAGCCGAAAGACTAAAGAGTAAAGCAACAAATAAGATAAAGATATAGATACATCATACATCAAACATCATACAAGCACCAATCTTCGCGGCATGAGTAGAAATAGCCAAGCTCATGGCTTCATGGGTCTCATGGAGTCATGGTCATGGATTCAAGATCTACAATCCTTATATAGGCTATTTTTTCATTTGAGAAAGTTTGAACAAAATATAGTTTAAATTTCACAAGTGTGTGACATAGTTTCAGAAAGTCTATATGAGATTCAAGAATTTGTGACTAGTGTTTGATAAAAC